GCAGCGCTCCTCTTGCGCTCCGGCGCCATGCAGCCGGGCCAGGCGCAGCGCTCAGCCGGCGGGCCAGGTGAGTCCGGGGCGCCCCAGCCCGCCTTAGGATCGCGGGTCTGCGCCGCGCACTGAGCGGGGAGGGGCGCTGGGTGGCGCGCGCTCTGCCGCGCTCCGCGCAGGGGGCCGGAGCCCGAGCCGCTCGCTGCGGCGCGCGCACGGGGCAAATTTGGGGGGCAGCTGGGCAGGGGACCCGTTCCTGGGGGGGGGTCCGGAAAGCCCCCCTCCCGCCCCCCGGGGGCTCACTTGCGCCGGGAGTGCGTACCCCCCGAGAAGTGCCCGCTCCGGCGCGTTCCCACGACTGCTTCTCCTCCTCCTCCCCGCGCGCAGAAAACGGGCTCCGCAGGGAAGGGAGGGGAAGGGTCTGGCGGGCCAGCCAGGAGCCCCCCGGCCCGAGGCAGGGCGGTGCCTACCCGACTAGGACCATTTGAGGTGGCTCACCGTGGGATGCTCAACCAGCCCTGGTGTCTAGGCTGCATTCCGGAGATTTGGGGAGTGCATCGGAAGCAAAAATCTTGCCGGCGTGGCTCTCCCCGGTTGCTTTCGAGGTTCAGCCCCTCCCGCCACCCGGGGAAATGGGGGAGACACGCATCTCCCGCATGGATGCACGAGATGCGTGTCTGGGTGAGGCAGATCATTCCGTGAAGGGCTTTGAACTTTGTTGCTGCTTGCTTGCAAAGGAAACGCTAAGATCAGCTCAGCGCTCTTCCAGAAAGCTTCACGGAGGGGCTGTTGCAGAGTAGCAAAAGCGCTTGGGACTGAATTAGGGGTCAGAACTGGCATGTTCAAAACCTACACGTGTGTCTGTTTTCACCTCTGAAATGCGGAGAGACTTGTGGCTGCCACGGCGCATTTGTGGATTATTCCCTACCTGGATTCACAGCCTTTTTTCCATGTTGCACCTCACATTATTAAAACATGTGGTTGATAACCCAAATCTTTCTTGGTGTGGGTCCAGATGTGGCAGTTAAGTGCGGTAAAGGGATTCAAAAAGTTTTCCCTATTTAGCTACACCTTCAGGGGATTATTAATGATTACAGGTGGCTTTTATTAAAAAGAAGCCACCAATGTTTGCCTTGTAATTGTTTTAAGGCAAGAGCACCAAATCATGAAATGAGCATTACGTGTCGGTCAGATGGGTTGGATTTCTAGAATTTGCAGCGGTTGCTTCTCCAGACATTTTCTGCTCCTCCTCTTTGTGGCTTTTCGCATCATGCCAACTTTGACCTCACCGCCTTACTTGCTTCGCTTCGCGTTCAGCCTGGTGAGCGGTTCGGAAGGACTGGAACATGTGTCAGCAGCTCTGTCTGTCTGTCTGTCTGCTTGCTTGCTTGCTTTCTTTCTTTCTTTCTTTCTTTCTTTCTTTCTTTCTTTCTTTCTTTCTTTCTTTCAAGGGCCAGGGCAACTTTATTATTTATGCATTAAACTATGCATAGAGCAGCTTTTGGCTTTATGCTAAAAACATTTAACAAATTTTAAACTACAGAACAAAAACATATAACCAAAAACCCACACACGCACGCACACACCAAGAATGGCATCTCCTAGTTATAGTTCTTCACATTCTAAGAAGAACAGGGATGCCTTTGCTGCCGTCTGAACAGCAAACAACGAATGGGGCTCATCCACCTTCCTTTAGGGAAAGAGTTCCACAGCCAAGGTCCTGTGGCAAAAGGCGACCTGTTCCATGCTCTTTCCAGCCAGCACAAGCCTCCTCTGCCCGTGATGAAGGAGGCAGCAGGCTCTCACAGGAAGGTTCTGGACTTCAGGCTAATGTGTACATTCATTTCGGGCTTGATCAGCACCCTAAATTGCGTCCTGAAGCACAACTGATGAAAACAAGGGCTATGCTATGAGGAGTCTCTATGGGCACCCCGAAAGGCCATCCTTCAGCCTTGTCCTCAAGCGGCAGTCTCCGGACTCCTTCTCCAGGAGACCTCCTTGTAGCGTGGTGAGAACGGACTGTGGCCTGTGCCAGTGTGACCAGCACCATTTTGCCCAGGAAGGGATGTGCCAGGCAATCCAGCCAAGCCTTCGCAAGGGTCCTCCAGGCATCAGTCACCACTTGCGCCTCCAAGGAGCAAGGTGGGCCCAGAAGCACCTTGAGGCTCCATGCCATAATCTTCAGCCGACAACCAACATGCAGAACTTTCACAGCACCTTTGGCAGAAGAGAGGCATTGCTGGATGGCCTCAACGTACCGCGAAGACCCAGCCATCCATTCCTGGATGATCTGCTCCTTTGGCTTGATGTGGTGCTACAAAGCAAGAGTGGCAGAGCCCCGAAAACCATCCTCCGGCAATGTTCCACCAAGGAGAACTGGAAGCACTGCAAAATGGCCCTTTCCAGTCCTGCCGAGGAGATCAGGTTATTATCTCGAACCTCACAGCCAGATCAGAAAGGATTCAAGCAAGAGGTTTGACCCAAGGAAGCCGGGAGCTGTTTTGCTGCCACCCGTTCTCTTTACAAGAAAGAAAGCAAGATTGGAGACCAGCACTGAAGTTTTTCCAGAAAATATACAAGTGATGCTTAATCTTCCCATTTTCTACACGTGTAGAAAAGCACAGAGTGTAAGAGCACAGAGAGGGACACAGAGACTAAAAGAAATCCTGTTTTCACGCATGGCACTAGCTGCCTGCCCGCCTGCCTCTTTGCGCAGCTGGAGACAGAAACTCTCGGTTAAGAGGCCAGTGCATGTATGCAGCTGGGGGGCAGGGGGGCTGGTCTTCCTCTCCACCCTGCAGTGGGTGGGGTGGGACCTTAGGAGGCCCAGCTGAATGGTCCTGAGCAACACTGTGCCCCTCCGTGGGGGGACCGGGTGGGAGAGCTGATGCGGGTTTCTCTCTCCTCTTTCCGGTGCAGATCTGCTGGAGGATGGCGGAGAGCTGGCGGAGGTGCTGTGCGAGTTTGACGCCGTGATCGAGGACTTCTCCTCCGCCACGAACGAGCGCCACTTCCAGTACGAGGAGCACCTGGAGCGGATGAAGCGGCGGAGCAGCGCCAGCGCCAGTGACTGCAGCGCCATCAGCGACTCAGAGAGTGAGAAAGTGGGCCTCCGGGTCATTCTCTCTTGATTTCAGAGCTGCGATACTGACACAGCGAGGGAAGATGGGATTAAATTCCCCGCAACAAATGCCCCCACCCCCACGGTGAGGTTCGGTGGCTTCCAGGTGATGCTGTCGGAGGAAGCCTGCGCGGGCCGCTTCCTTGCGTCTCCTGCCAATTGTGCTTGGGTACCAGCAGGCCAGTATCGGCAAGGCTGGGCCCAGTCAACCCAGCAGGGACTCGCCAGTGGCGGCCCCCTGGAGGTCGCTCTTCCTCCTGCTCATTCACTTGCCTTTCACTCAGGCCCACCCAGAGTGTGGTGGTGGTGAGGGGGAGGCACGGCGGATGCCTATGGGTTCCCTGCTTGCCCAGGACGCAAGAGGGAGCAAGGATTAGAAACAGGAGGAGCCCCACAGCCGGTGATGGAGAAGGACAGTGGGGAGGGACACCTTGGAGGCAGCAGTTTCACCTCAGGGGCCTCCAAACCTGCAGCCGCTTCTGGAGGTGGGACCGTGTGGACTTGGCGAGAGCCTCCGAGTTCACCCTCCCACTCTGTGCTCCCTGGCACCCTTTAAAGGAACGCATTTCCCGGTTTCAGCTCCCAAGTCTGTTGCTACAATCCTTTGTCCTCCCATCTGCCCACCGTTCAGTTCAGAGCAGTGCTTTGTCTCTAGGCTCTGGACACGGGCGGCTGCTTGGGAGAAAAGCTTTGACAGCGAGAGCCCCATCATGTGGATGCGTGTTGTCAATGGATAATAACGCTCCAGCTGCCCAGAGAAGGGCCATCAGATGTCGTTTTGAGGGTGAACTGCGATTCTCAGACCTACAGCCTGGCTTAGCCTGAAGAGCACCTCCTGTTTCAAGGGGCAGAGTTACTTCTACGTGTTCACGCACGGAATGCTTCCTGCCTGCGCCCAATACATGGGCTCAGGGCAGGCATCGCTTCCTCTCCCTTCACACTTGCTCCAGCCCTGCGAGGGCTTGGCTGCCGTGTGTGCCGGTCCTTCGCCTCCTCCCCAAACTGTGGGGGCACCCAAGTCGCAGCCTGCCACTTGTTTTGCATCGCGCTGCAAGCTTGGCTCTCCCCTTCTGTCTCCTCTCCTTTGATCCAAGACTGTTAACATCTTGTGTCGGATGCATGCGCTCTCCTGCGGCAGCCGGGGCCAGAGCAGGCATTTCCACCTGAGCGCTGTCAGTTGCGGGCCAAGTTGCTCCAAGGATCTGCTCTGAAACGTCTGTGAGGGTTTGTGCCTGTTTGCGCTGGAGGGCAGCGTCTCAGAGCTATTTTTACCTGGCTCATCAGAAGCAGAAGCAGGGCTTTGTGGAGACGTCGCTGCCCATACTTTCCATGTGGCAGCCTCTGTCGTGGTTGCTCTTGCGTCACTTCCACCTGCCGGTGATCTGGTCCCGGAGCAGCTGTGACGGTCTCTGACAGCTGGGTCTGTCGAGCATCACACGCTCCCTCTTTTGGGGGCCAGTCCCTCGTGCCAGGCGTTGCAGAGAGATTCCGATGGAGTCTGCAGCTCCCGCCCTCCTGCAGCCGGCGGGATGCTGACGCCACTCTTGGCCTGCAATCCGGCGCGCGCTTCCCTGGAAGGAGGCCCTGCTGAGCTCAGGTAAGCTGCCTCTCAGCGGACACGTGTAATGATGGTGTAGCCAGGTGGCAAAGCAGCAGGTGCTCTAAACATTCTCCCTGTTGCTTGTGCCCTTCAGGGTGAAATCCTCACCCTGGAGAATGATGTAAGCCACTTTGCATCCGGGTTGAGAAAAAGCAGGATATACATCTAATACATAAATAAAGTTCAGTAGGAAGAGCTCCCCGCAGTGTTCCGTTCCCACTGGGGAGCAGCTGTGCTTCTCCAGGGAGTTCCAGAGCGTCCTGGGAAAGCTGAGGTGTGCATCCATCACCGCCCGGAGATATTGTGGAGGGTGGAATTAAAAGCCTTAAATAAATCATAGTAAGATGGACCAACCTGAGACCTTGTGAAGGACGGGATAAAAAAGGTCCAAAAAATAAACCAGTAGTAGGATGGAGGCATGAGCCGGGGTTAGGGGAACTTGGCTGTGGCTGGGGAGAGCACAGCCCCAGTGGCCCCCGGACTCTCCCAAGGCCCAGCCTTCCTCACAGGGTTGCTTCGTGGTGACCGAATGGAAAGGGGAGCCTTGGATGCCGTCTTGGTCTCCCTGCGTGAGGAAGGAGGGAGGGGTGCAAAGGTAATGTCCCCCTGTTCCAAGGAGGTGTCAGACTGACCTCCACGGGGGAGCCCTACCTTCACCCCCCCCCCCGCAGGATGAGGCAAGGAGGGGCAGCTCAGGAGATATCAGCCGCCTGACTCTCCTGCCGCCCCAGGGGCATCTATGCCAAACCGCCCTGGGGGAAGGCGCAGAAGTTGCCAGCCCTGACTCCAGTGGGGCTGGTTGTCTGACCCAGACACGCAGCCCTTGCTCTGCCCATTCTGTCAGTGTCGAAAAGAAGTATATTCATCTGCTAAACGTTTTTCTTTGTTTTGTTATGTTGTGCTTCCTTTCAATCTCTCTCTCTTTTCTTTTTGGCATGGAGCATGGCATAATGACATAACACAGAATGCGGCAGATTAAAATAAGCTCCTAGTCCTTGCCATGCGAAGCGGTTTTAGAGTCCTTCAGGCATTCTGGAGAAGGAGTTGGGCCTGTGCGTCATTCTCTTGAAGCTCCTGCTCAGAAAAGGGCCGTTTCTAACCCATTCCATCCTGCTTGCATTAAGCACATTGTTTGCCGGAGGAACAAAATTTCAGAACAAAACAAAAATTAGGTTGTACCTAACCTGAAACAGGGACAGACTAAATGCTGCAGATTGCAGTCATGGATGTGAAATATGTGGAGCTATTTGTCCGTGTATGGGGAAAGCCAGTGCGGTGTCGTTTTTAAGACGGTTGGCTTGGTGCCCTGGAGACTTGGATTCTCGTCTCCACTCAGCCACACAACCACCAGGGTTACTTTGGGTCATCCATGGCTCTTCTTCAAGCTTCCTTCCAGGTGGTTTGAATGTGCAGTGGAGTGGAAGAGGGCCGTATGGATCCACTTGGCCTCCCTGGAGGAAAGCAGGCACAGCGGTGGAACAAACACGGACGTGTCTGCTCCGATTTCTATAGTGTCACTTGCGTCATTGCCGTGCAGCCGAGTGTGATGCACTCGGGCCCTGGGGAAGCACAGAGCCGCTGGGCCGGTCCAGACGAAATCCGCACCTGTGAGTTGGGAGGATGAGACAGCTGAATATGGCGCTGGGCTCTTGAGGAGCGGGCAGAACTGTCGGGAGTGAATTCGGAGGGCAGCTGTGCCTTGAGAGCTTCCACCCCCGTCAGATTTGAAGAGGATGCTTGGCCCCATTTGCTGCGTGCCCATTCCACACCACCGTAGCCCCCTCCCCGCTCGCTCTCTGAGATGGCATTACAGGCGAACGGCAAAGTGCGCTTCCGGGTGATGGCCTTTGGCTGCAACATCCAAGAGGCCTTTCTTCCGAGAAGAAGCGCAGATCCCGCAACGTGCCCACTCGCCCTCGTGCACGGATAGAGCGCTCCGTGGTGCTTTTGCAGCAGGGCAAAGAGACTCCTGTTCAAACACAGGCTTCCCCGCTTGGAATCCAGATCTCTCCTCTTATCCCTTCTGTACACTTCTGATGCCAAATTCATGACCTCACGGTTTCCTTGGCAACACTCATGCAAAATGTCAGTGTGGGAGAAGCCGGGCCATGAGGGGGCGCATTTGAAAAGCACCATCGCAGCATTAAAAACATACTGGACGCTGTTTTGCCTGCAAACAACTTTTATTGGAAGGAGCAGTTTGCCTCCTTGCAAATACTTTCCCGTGGCCTCCTGCAAACTCCCATCCACTTTGGCACCTCTCTTTCTCTCTCTGCGTTCGCCTCCCTCTGTGCCAGCCCAGTGCTCTTCCAGTCTTTCTCATTGTGGAGGAGAAAGGCACCAAGATTGTGCCGTAATCCTTAGGAACGGTGAGTGGACAACTGGTCCTGATCGCCTGTGTTTGCCCCTTTGGCTGCAGAGGCCAAACCAGACCGGTGTCGGTTTGACCACAATGTCAGTACGTGGGCGTCTCTGACTGCTTCTGCTAGCAGCCCCCACAGATCGGCTCTTGGGAGCAAAGTGCGACACAAAGCAGAGAGCAGTGTGACCCCCGGTTGCCTCCTGCTTCAGTGCCACAGCCGCTGGTTCCCAGTAGCGTTTCACTGCTCATCACTGTAACTGGGCACTGCTATTTTCAGCTGGTATTTACTAGTTTGCCTACATGAGAAATAGCTGTCTGTGTGAAACAAGCACATCTCAGTGCTTTACCTTGTGAGAGTCAAATGTCAGTTTCGGCTCAAGCCCTGTAGGGCAATTCTACGTAGAGCAAGAACCGGTATTTTAGCTAATGATGTCATTTATTTTATGTGTGATGTTTTTATTCCTTCTGCCGAGGGGCACGGGACAAAGTGCATGGGTTTATCGGCTCTCCGGCATTTTATCCTTGCAACAGCTTTATTACTGCTTCAGTGATGTTATATTGGATTTTGATCCTGCCTTTTCTCCTCTTTTGAAGAAGCCAAGATGGCTCCATCTAGCCTCAGAACAACAGCCCTGCGAGGTAGGCTGGGCTGAGAGTCTGTGGGACCTTCACAGCCAAGTGAGGACTGGAACCCAGATCCCTCCGGCCCCCACCTGGGACAGTCAGCACCACCGGCTCATGTCATTTGGGTAAACGGAGGATAAGGGGCAACTCCTTCGCCTGGGTATCTTACCTAGCGAGCACCGTATCTCCCCTCTTATCGGGCTGGCCCCTTCCTGCTGGCTCATCTTGCTCACACCTGGCTGAGTCATCTCAAGCACTCTTGCTGCTGCTGCTGCTGCTGCGATTCCCTGAACCGTTCCATTTTGGTGGCACTCACAAGCTGCTACGCACAGTTTCCGGAACGACAGTCCTCGTGTCTCCGTGTGAAGCTCCTCTATTCTTATCCACAG